GTTTTGTGCAATTCAGCCCATCGAACGATTGCCTATTAATGATTTTCACTGCTTTGTACTTTAGTCGATGCAAAAATAGTTCAAACATTGGAAAACAGTTAAAAATTTCACGCACCAGCGTATGAAAGCTAAATAGCAAAATAGTTCAAACATTGGAAAACAGTTAAAAATTTCACGCACCAGCGCATGAAAGCTGAATTCGAAGCTTTGAATGGTGAATATCCTTTCGTGACTCCCGAGTTAGTAGTTTACCCGCCAAAACTTTCACGAGGGGTGATACTCATGCACGATCGAGCATGGGCAGGGGGTCATTACCCTAAAATTTTAGCCTGCTAGACACCGTGGTTCCCGAGATACTAATTTACCCGTAAAAAACTTTCACGAGGCCGTACATGTTACCCGCGGGTACAGGAAGGCTGAATTGGAATGGACGAGGTTGAGCTTGGGCAGGGGGTCATTACCCTAAAATCCCAGCCTCCTAAACTCCGTGATTCCTGAGATATTCATTTATCCGTGAAAAACTTTTACGGGACCGTATGTGTTGCCCGCAGGTACGGGAAGGCTGAATTTAAATTTGCCACTATACCAAAATTTTAGCCGCCTTGCTTTTGTGGTTCCTGAGTTGAAAGTGCGGGACAAAATGCGGGACACACACGCATACAAACAGATAACCCCGTGACAATATGCGTTTTGTAATGCTGTTACACAGCACAAAACGCATAAAAAACGTGAGGATAGCAATTTACAACAGCAAAGTCGTAAAAATCCGAAAAGTTATTCAATCTCCTTTCTGCAAATGCAGGATTGACACAAAAGTTGAGGGTATGATGTCGTAATAACAAGAGATCCCCGTTACCCAAAGTTCCCACAAGGTATTCTCACTAATATCGTGATAATATGACCAGCGATCATTTCATCGTGGCTATGCCCCTCCCTCTCCCCTCATGAACCTCCTCGGAGTTAATTCACTACGAACAAGCTTTCAACATTGCTGATGTGGAAACAGCGGAACCTGGTGCGCCAAAATGCTAGTTACCCTGGCTTTCATTTCCACCCCTCTTCGTTCTTCCAAACAGAAATGCTCGATGTGTAACATCCTTTTTATACTCCTACGGTTTATCAGCACTTCCACTAGCAACTTTTTACCTTAGTTCATGACAAGTACCATTCGGGGATATTAATGCATGAGAATTTAAGCGTGCTAGAATAGCTCCTAGAAATCGCGAATTATTAGGAATTATGGACTCCGATACACAGATACCTCGATGGTATTCCAAAAAGCAATTACATAGCTCCAAACAGATAATAAAATTTACTAAACAGTCAAGAGCAAAAACAAACCAGATTTTTGGATGAGCATGAGCTCCTGCGGTGTTAGTGCCATTAGGCCAAGATTGAGGCCAGAGAAGAGACCAGAGAGCACAAAAAGAAAACAAATTATTGCTATCTGTATACCCATCGGCAAGTAGTAACGCCGCGGTGGTATCTCAGTCGAGATTGTGGAGCGCAAATCATCCAGCTGCAATAGCAAAAAACCGCCAAGTAACAAACTTTTGCTGGAAAATTATTAAAACTGGTGGGGCGTGGGAACATAATGGCAGACTGAACTTATTTCTATTTGTTTTTGCGTATTTATGCAAATGCAAAAATGCATATTGTGACGACCCATGATGCGTGTGTGTGCGTGTGTGTGTGTGTGTGTGTGTGTATGCGTTTGTCCGCGTATTTCAACTCGACAACCAGGTAAATTTAAATCCCGAGTAACTGCTAAAAAAGAGGCTCTCAGCAACAAACTGCCAGCTGTATTAACGATGAGATGGAACATGATTAACCAAAATACCTCAGACCCCCCTCCCCCCATAACTGAAACAGGAAATCTTACGGGTAATTCCTAAACAAATGGGCTTTATTCTGCTAATTCAATAAGTGTATTTGCGCTCATTCAACTTATTAGGTAAGTTAGCCTTAGTAGTAATAACAGGTCGTCTTATGCACGTCTTAGTTATGCCACCCAGTACCCCTACATATCCAAATTCCATCTGCCCACAGGGCCCAAACGGCCCCCGGGGTCTTTTTCTTACACTAATTGTGTGGCTGACGGAAGATCATCGAGAAACTGATGATATAATAAACAAGGAAAAATCTAGGCCACATCAAATAATCAAGTGGCGAAGTAAGGAGAGGGGTGAGAGGTAGGGAGGGAGACTGCACTATTTTATAACAGCGTTATTAAAAGTAAAGACAGAAATAAGGATAAAATAGTAATAATAAATTTAAAAAAAAAATCATAATAACAGCAATTATAGTGATAATGACTTTTTGATTATCATTACTACTGCCTGTCATTATCATTGCCATAGTAACTACTGCCATTTTCATTAATGTTATTATACTAATAAAAATGATAATTAGCAATAAAATGATAGCGACAATAGTAATTTCAGTAATAATAACGTGTAAAAGTAACGAAAGTGATAGCGATAATAATTTAACTGGCGTTGTATAATGATAATAGCAGTAAATAAATCTATTTGAATACAAATGAAAATGCAAACCACGAGAAAATCTTCCTCGATTTCTTCACCTAGCGAATTTTGCTTCGGCTTCTGCTTCGCACAAACGTAATACAGATCTGGTGAGCTGAAAATATCCGTATTTGAAAAAGATCTCATCGCTATCTCTATGCGTGAAAGCGTTTATTCATCTATCATAATACGATGAAATATTGATCCGTTTTTCTCAAGCATATAATAATTACGCTCAAGATCGGCTCAGCTGATCTCCAGATTACTCAAACGCGACCAGATATCGTCATTATGATAAAAAAATACTAGGATTCCCTACTATAAAAAAACCCGTCGAAATAAAAGAAACATAGCCACAAAACCTAAATTTTTGAATTGGCAGATTCTGAAAATCAAAGAAATAATTCCCCCTTTCCTCACCCTCCCTCCAGTTCGATCGATTTCAAATTGACTGGGCGGCTAAAGAAAAAAAACATGCAAAACGCATGCCAAAGTTCCCATCGCATTCTCTTTCTCGACAAGACAGATGCTCGAGAAGCAGCCTGAGCAAAAACAAATGTTAATAGCAAACACCCACTGGCAAGGCTATCAACGGCCTTCTTTCGAGAGTTGCTTA